TCACAAACACACACACCATCCAGACATGAAAATGAACTAAATTTGTGTATTCAAATACCCCTGCACTGAGCCTATGATGTACATACATCTAGCAATTAGGTTCACATGCATAACATATTTACTTTTTCTGAATGTTGATATGGTCATTGTATGCATACATTAAATCGATATATGGAGACAAACATAGTGATTATGCATTTCTGCAATAAAAGAGTATAGATATTCTGTATCTAAATATATGCATACCTCTACCTGTACATAACAAACACTTGTATGCACCCATCCTCTATATCTGATGTGGATCCAGACACACACAGGCAGTGATTATATAGATCCATAAATTTATAGTTACCATATGTACACATGCACACAAATAATAAGCAAGGACACAGTCATTGTACATACATTCTAAATCCATGTATGGGGACACATGTATCTGGAAACACAGATATCTATATCTACACATATACATACCTCTATATGTACACAGTGATCAACTATATATACTCATCCTATCTGATGTGCTTCCATCTATATATGTACACACACATACATGTAGACAGCCATTATATACAGACTGATACATAAATAGATGGCTACCATATGTACACATGCACACAAATAATAAGCAGAGACACATGCACACACATGTGGGTTTAAATAACTAGGTGAATAGGTGAATATGAACATTAATAGCCATTTATGGCAACAAAAATGAAAGCTGTCCCTGGAGCCTGCATATGGTACAGCAGCCAAAATGATTGAGTATCTACAGGGCATTGCTAAAGCAATGGCACACACATGGGCCTCCTTTTAGAAATGATTAATATTTAACTGGCTTTCTGAACCTGGCTTTGTTTTGCATTATGATTAGATAGCCTGGCACTCAGAGCAACCCAAAAAAGCTCCTTGCTGCTGGACTATCCAGACTGACTTCCACTGTGCAACCCACAAAGAGAGAGAGGGAGAGGGAGAGATACACACCGCTGTAAAAATGTGTTCGGCTCTGTTTGTGTTTGTTCAGAAAGAAAAGGAAAAGCAGGCTGCAAGGCCCATGTAATAAGATGCTGTAGCTTTTCTAAAAGAGGTGAAATAATTTTAAACACAGACACACAATGAGTTTATTTATTTAGAAACTTGTTAAATAGAGTCTGGGAATTCAAATATTCAATGTTGACATTGTACAGAGCTGGCAGGAAGCCAGCTCCGACTCTCCAGAGAGATCCAATGGACAGGCATCCAGGCCTTGGGCCCTCCCACTTGAACTAACTAGGTAAAAGTCATTAGTTATACCCACAAGCAATATCTGAATCGGAGTCAAATCATCTCGCCTCAGCCAGAGAACTTCAAAGGCCTATAAGTGTGTTTAGCTTTTTAGTGCTGGAACTTTAGCCATATGTCACACTTGTGAAAGAGTTGTGTAAACAGTGCTTTCCCCTCAGCAGAAACCCTTCTTAAGTTTCTTGTACCCCCATGTAAACAGCGCTAATCAACAAGGGTTACAGTTTTCATAGGCAAATAGATCTCCAGGAACCGACCCCCCCTGCTTTCAGACTGCCCTTTCTCTTGCTCTGTGCTAGATGCCCCCCCTGCCCTGCCCCACACACACTTTTTTATGATTATTACTATTTTCTCCAAACACTTGTAGGACTACCTCTCCATTTCCCTGGGGGAAGCAGACAGCAGGCAGACGAGGTGGGAGGGTAGCTGTGAAAGTTGATCTAATTTTTAGAAACAGCATGGATGGGGAGGGGAAGAAAATTGTTTCCAAATTAAGTGAAAGCAGTGGACACTGCTGAGTCGCTAGATGCCCTGGACACACACACACACACACACACACACACACACACACACGTTCTCCGTCCTGAAAGGGGTTAATCACGTGCCTTGTAAAAATGTGCTTGGCATATAATGCGATTGTCTCGCCAGCCCCTCACCCCCCTCCCCAACTGAAATATGAGGCTCGCTGAGAGAGAGCCATGCGGGGACATGCTGCAGGCGAGGTGCATATTACATACACGCCCTCCCCACCCCCCACCCCCAAAAGGCGCATCTCAACCAAGAGTCCCGTGAAACCCCCCCCCCCCGGGAAGTCGCAGGCGGTGAGGGGTGCCCCCGGCCACCCTGCTCCTACCTCGAAAAGTCCCCTCGGCCTCCAGGCCTGCTGGAGCCCCTCTCCCTGCCTGGGGGACCCCCCTCTGCAGCCCCAGGGCCCCGATCCCCAGGCATCCGCCCTTCCTGGAGGGGCGATG